AGAGACTGAATCCTATTGCGGACGCCGAGGCTAGTTGTCTATATTTAGAATTGTTTTTGTCTTATCATTTGACAACTTGTTTCCGGAAATGTGGAAATTTGTAGCCGACGCTGAAGTTAGATTTTGAGATAGCACCGACCTCGGCTTGGGTAAGATACGAGAGTGTAGAGAAAAGAATAAGCTAAAGTGCAGTAGAGTGAGAAAGGCCCGCACACCTTGCTCATGGTCACAGTGTTCTTAGTAACACTCGGGGAAAGGGTACAGAGTAAGTGTGACATTATGTTTTAGTTTCGATGTGCAGTTTCAGAACGAATATGGGACAAGATATCGTCAGTGCAGTGTTTACCGAAGTATGATTGATAAAGAGAACAAAAGTAATGAACGCTTTTCACCAGTGGTTTTGAAGTTGTGAGTATTAGTGCCGTTGCCGTGATGGACTCATGAGGTCAAATAGAAATGTGAGGATCAGAAAACAAATATTAATTGAAGTTTCTTTGAGCCTCAGATGGCGTTGTGTGAACTTTAGATGGCATAGTGTGATATTTACCTTGATAATTAAGTAACAATAAGAAAATGAAACTATTCAGTGGGTTTCCCTCACTAAAGTCTTCATTTATATTTCATATTGTGAAGATGAAGAATTAGTCTGCTGATCATTTCAGTAACCAGGATGTGCTTACTATCTACACACCATAGATGCTGTATCCAGAAATATTGGCAGGCTTAAGTTAGAACAGGTGCAAGGACAAGTGACGTACGGTTGATTGTATTTAGTCGCCACAGAGAGAGGAGCAGCGCCTGTAAGCTTTCAAGACAACTCATAGGGGAGGAAGGAACGAGAGCATGACTTATATCCATACGGGGATGGAAGGAATGCTTGAAGAATGGGTGCTGAGTAATTTTTTTGTTCCACCAGCCCTGTTGTATTCAAATGGCTAGTAAAATAGGGAAGTTTGAGAAATATTAGTTTCTTAATGTAATTATGACTGCATCAGAATGAGTCATTATGATTTTTTTTATGCACCAAATGCTAGTTCTTAGTATATGTAACCCAATGGCCATTTCATATAATGGTATTATTATAGGTTTTGAGATACATGTAATACAAGGTACAACAAATTGATCGATTGAAGAAATAATTTGTTTATCATAAAGTTAAAAAAAGATTGAGTCTGCCTGGCAATGTTATTAAAACAATGAGTGTATTAGCATTTATTGCACTATTTGATTGTACTTACTGCCAGAGTTTGATGTTATATACACATGTATATAAAGAGGGTATAAGTTGCAGATACTGACACACGTATATAGAGGGAAATAGACTGCCATCTTATAGACCTGAAAAAATAGGAAAAAATAGAGTGGATGGAACATAGTTTAAGCTACAGCGGCCTCTTATTTACTGGTAAATGGAAAAAATGTATGGCACATAGTGGCACACAGCGGCACACAGAGACCACAAGTCCACAACACCCTTACACAGCCAGAGTTCCTTGTTTATTTCTACATTTTCTATGAAATCCATTTCCTTTATTTGTGGTGCTATGGCATTACTGGTCATGTTTGCAAAATATTTCTTGTACTGACTACTACAACATTTTTGTTCTCTACAAGAATATCCTATTCAATTTGCCCTAAATCAGTACAGCCATACCCTAAAGGTTAACCCCCCCCAATTTGTCAGCATTTTGACCAGTTGCTGATGAGAAACAATTCATTATATTTAATTAGCCTAAGGTTCTAAAGTACTACTCAACCCTAGCTTAGTCCAACAGTCCTAGAATCTTCTTCAACTTCATTTCCTTTTTATACATTTCTTGATGTACTTGTGTGTTCTTACCTATTTGTTTCAAAACGGGAGAAGAGCTAAGCTCAGGTGGTCCCATCTGCTTTATTTAAATTGTCGTATAACTTTTTAAATCGATGCACATTTTTGGCACACATTTCATTTTGGGGGAGACTGTTCCATGCTTGCATAATTCTGTGTTGAGAATAAAAAAAATTGACATTTTTATTACCTCTTTTTACTCTCAACTTTTTAGTGTCTCCTCACATCCTTCTTATGTTCAAGATTAAAAAGTTATCTTTATCTAACTTCACTCTTCCTGTAATACAGTTGAACAGCATAATCATGTCCCCTCTTTTCCTTCTTTCAAGTTTTCTAAGTTAGGGCAAGTTGAATATGATGTTCTTGTAGAGGACAAAATGCTGCAGTTGTCAGTACAAGAAATAATGTGCAGGCAAGAACAGTAATGCCACAAATAAAGAAAAAAGGTCATGGAAAATGTCACTCTCAACCTAAGTCCACTCGGTGCTGTGCACACCCAAGGTAAAGAAAGTGTTTCCCGGGCAGTGTTGGGGCCAGAACCCCCATCAGTTGTCCTCAGCCCAGTCATGTCAACTTAGATTGATGAATAAATTTTTTGATGTGGAAATGTGGATTTGGTCTCTGGCGAGTGCATCCATACTGTAAAGAATTACCGATTATAGGGCTTTACAT